TCCGCCCAGCCTGTATTTGTGCTTGGGATTGCCCTGACCCATGTGCAGGACCTTGCACTTGGCCTTGTCGAACTTCATGAGGTTCACACGGGCCCACCTCTCAAGCCTGTCAAGGTCCCTCTGGATGGCATCCCTTCCCTCCAGCGTGTCGACTGCACCACACAACTTGGTGTCATTGGCAAACTTGCTGAGGGTGCACTCAATCCCACTGTCCATGTCGCCGACAAAGATGTTAGACAGCGCCGTTCCCCTCCTGAGGAACGCCACTCATCACTGATCTCCACTTGGATATCGAGCCGTTGGCTGCAACTCTTCAAGTGCAACCATCCAGCCAATTCCTTATCCACACAGTGGTCCATCCCGTCTCTCCAATTTAGAGACAAGGATGTCATGCGGGAGAGTGTCAAATGCTTTGCACAAATCCAGGTAGATGATGTCAGCTACTCTTCCCTTATCCACCAACGCTGTAACCCTGCTTTCTGTACCTGTGACATGTCACCTGAGCAGTGCTAACTCTCTACGTTCAGACATGCTTCTAGTGCTTCGCAAATGTGAGGTAAACCTACCAACTGAAATCTCTTCATTGAGGTCCAAGTCAGCATGTTTTATCTCTCATTTGATGAAGCTGAGAGTGCCCACAAAGATCATCACCCTCACCTGGGTCATGGTGGCTCTGCCTGTACTGGTGGACAGAGCCAGGAAGGTTCCTGGGCTCTGGGATGCCATTGCATCTGCTGTTAATGGTTAAACTGGTCACTCACCAGCTAGGACCTTCCCAAAGAGCTCCTGGCTATCAATTAGGATTTAGCATGGGGCAGGGATCATTCCCAACAGAGTTTGGCGATGTGACATCCCTATTTTGAGGGACAGGAGTGTTTAATAGTTATGGATGTAAGCTGGTTTTGACCATTTGTGGCCATCAGTGCCAGATAACAACCTGACCATGTTTAGTTTCTTGCACAGCTGCAGCCAGAGGTAACACGGTAACTCAGCTGTATGCCTAAGCCCTTATGTGTTTTCACATTCCCCACAGCATGATTGAGACCATTAATTTATAATGTTGTTTACATGGATAAGTGATGGTGCGTTAAACCTGTGGTCAGGAGCCATAAAATGTACTGTGGCTATAGTCTCTGCAGGCTTTAGAATAGAGCAGCACATGTACTTTCTTACTTGGACTTCAAAAATTATTTTTATTATTACTATCACTATCATTATTACTGTTATCTATTGTTATACAATTGCACAAGGACAGGGACCCTGCCAGCTAGGGCTCATACGGAGCCCACGGTGTGTGCGACACCCCGGTTCTGCTGGAAGCCCTCAGAATGGCAGCAAGGCAAAACAGGTCAAATGCCACCGGGAAAACAAATTCCCCGCAGAAATCTCTGGCAAAGCAGCCACTGCCGTGTTGCTGCCTTCCTGCGGTACAGTCCCGGGAGGAGCGCACAGGGAACTCCATTGCCGCAGCGCATGGCAGACTCAAGATCAGATCATTAAAGAGCAGCTGGACATCTGCTCCAGCAATGACTAAAAGATACCAAGAGACAATGTTTGACTGCAGCTAGAAAACGACTTTTAAATAGTTGGACTGATGAAACGATCAGGTTGAAGAAAGCCGGAAACTTCCTAGACAGTTTCTTGTATTGAGCTCTTGGCTTTGTGCGCATGATAGACAGGAATGGTCGTTCAGTTTGCTGAGTGAGCGTTTGCAGGGTTACGTTCTCCGTATGTCCTCTTCCAGCTGATAGTAAGACTTAATCTCAGAAATGAATAGGTGGTCAGAGAGAAGGAATTTTTTCCTTCCACAATGCTGTGTAGAAAGCTCAAAGATATACAGAATTCTGCTTGCCTTTCTTCCCTCCTTTTTCTTTGTATTTGCAAGACAAATCCAGACCTTTTTTCCCTGGAAGATTCAACAAGTGCAGGATGGGTACTGACTTGTGAGACTCAAATAGTTGGCAGAACTGGGCTGAGAGATACAGGTGTCCTCTAATGCTGAGGGGCTAGTTCAGAAATGAGCAAATATCCAATGCATTTTCTTGCAATGTGCTGTTAGAATGAACATATCAAATAGAGTAAAGCCACCTTATAAAAGGATTTAACATTAAATTTTTCTTTTTCTTCCAGAGAAATTGTAGAAAATGGTGAAAACTTCATTGAAGTGCCACTGATTTTTGATTCTGTCAAAGAAGTGGATTTTTACACAGACTTGCAATGTGCTGTTAGAATGAACATATCAAATAGAGTAAAGCCACCTTATAAAAGGATTTAACATTAAATTTTTCTTTTTCTTCCAGAGAAATTGTAGAAAATGGTGAAAACTTCATTGAAGTGCCACTGATTTTTGATTCTGTCAAAGAAGTGGATTTTTACACAGACTTTACAGGTCTGGCCCAGAACGGATATGGCTACCAAGTACTGCCAACAAGGGTCAAGCAGGAAGGTAACTAGTTTGATGGCTTACTTGGGATAATTTTTATCATTATTCCAATGCTAAATTATCATCCAAGCCTTTTATACTGTCAGAGCTAGTACTAGGATGGATTATTGCCTGGGGAAAAACTGGTTGCCTCTTTCACCTGTAGACTTTGGCATAGCCTGTTCACAGAATACACTTTCTGTGGGTCATTCAATGACATTTTCTGCAAGGATAAGGATCTGTGCTGATGTATCTGTTCATTGGATAGGGCTCCAATTTAGATACACTTTGTGAAATGATGGCTCCAGTGAGACTACTGGCAAACTCCCATCGGGTGCAGCAGGGCCAGATCTCTTCCAGTTCCTCAACAAGTAGTGAAAAAACAAAAAAAGACAATAGCAGAATAAAGATCAGAGTGTTCCTTCTCCTCATGCACAGACTGCCGCCAAAATAACAAGAAGTGTAAATTATGATGGGTGTTGTTATTTTGGCTCCTACTGATGGGAAGAGAAGCCCTAAGCACAGTGCAATTAATGTTGCAGTGTGATAGACCGTTGGCCAAGAACCAGCTGTAAAAACAATGTGAAGTAATGCTAATTGTTTCTTTGCATGATGTTGATGAATCACCAAAGCTTGCTTACACTGTCTTAGAAAGGCATGAACATTTACAGGCTTCATTATAACTCATGACTCACTCCAGCATCCTATGATGAGAGATTTGTACTCATTTGCAAGATGATGTGCTGCCCCTGTCTTCCATGAGCTACACATGTATTACTACAGAGGAGGCAATCCATGAACCAATATAGGCTGGAGTAATCCAAAATGGTCTGGACGGACACTGGTCTTGGAAGTTAGCTGTATTTTGGGAAACAGCTCAGAGTCTTGGCTTGATCATTAGTAATTTATAGGCTGCTCTGGACTAGAAAATTATTCACAGAGCTTGAGGGTGGACTAGCTGTTACGTACTCCCTCTCCACACGGTGCTTTTATTTCCTGCTTGGAGTGTCTCTGCTTACACCAAATTAAGATCGAAAGCACATAGACACTCTGAGCAGGGGTTGGGAAGAGTCATGTGTGTGCAAAAGGATTGAACTTTAAATTCTCACCCTCTGTTGTTTTCCAGTTCTTCCTCCCATCTTCATAAACGGATTTTCCAGAGCGCTCAATCAATAGGCCTCTTCCTTTCACAGGTGATCAACCCTGCTGGAAGGTTAACTTGCAGACGTCCTTTTTATTGTGATTTCTCCTCTTCCTCGTTGAACTTAGAAAACTATGTTCCTGGGAGGTTTTTTTGAAAATATTTCATTTCTTTACTTTTCCAGCTGTCGGCTTGTCCTGGTACATTGCAATGATTCCCGTCGCATTGGCCTGTGTGATCGTGGGGGGGATATGCATACACAAGTGCTGGAAGCAGAGAGCCGATAAAGGATACACGACAGCAGAGGTTTAAAATCTGCTTTATTCTCCAGCTGTCAACAGAACAAAAAATCATCCTGGCTATCTTTCACGTGAGACACAGAGAGACATTTCAGACCAGACATACTGCTTTTCCAGCAGATGGATATATATCAGCTATTTTCCTCTTCTCCAAGTCTTCTACGATCTGATGAAGTTATAAACATAAGTTTGTATTTTTATGCTGCCTAGATGCAGGAAACCTGCTTCTATTATTTTGCAGCTAGGGTGCAAACTGTAGAATTTTGGAAGACAGAATACCAGGAACGTGCCCTGGATACGGGAAGGGTAGGGAAAGGGAGGTGCTCTCGCCCTTTGTAATTCCAATAGTCTTATTGTTTAAAAAAAAAAGGAAAAGAAAAACCCTAAAATCTAAAAACAGAAGCTAAGACAGCTTGCTACAGAAGAACTGTTCCACACCAGAGTGAAAAAGCAGTTTTCTTATGCATCCAAACTCATTTTATTTTACTTCAGTCTAAAAAGAGCCAGTTTTTTTCCCTTTTCCAGAGCCAAATACAGTTGTCATGGCAACTGTGTATCTATGAACTTTTCCACAGAAAATCTAAATTTTTTCACCATTTGGATTACTCTTTGCTTAAATGGACTGTCTCAGAATATCCCTTCCCCAGAGATAACTACACCAGCATAACAGATAATTGTACACTGTTCTGTTTTATCTACCAATATCTCATAGCTAGAGATTCATAGGCAGCTGTAACATTTTGTTATCTTTGCCAAGAAAAGAATTTGGAGGGATGTTTTAGTGTTTTGAGAGTCATTTGACTAATACAAAGTTTTATTCCTGGAAGCGGTCGAACAAATTACCAGTAATAATGTACAGTCTTGCCCTTCTGTGCCTCTAACTCTTTCATGACTGGCCTGATTCTCCTCGCTGATATGAGTATAAAAGTCTGGCATAGATTCCCATAAACAATGAGTCTGCATGAGTCTAAAGCTGGTGCAGCTTCAGGAACCTCCTGTCCTCTAGATGGAAGTATGCAAATCAATTACTCATGATGTAAACCACTGCCTGTTAGGTTAATCTAACTGGATTCCAGTCTCGACATAAATCAGAAGGGAGCAATAAATAATCAGTGACCATGTTGTACTTTGAGGATCAGAATGAGTAGAATGACTTGGTTACTTCCTCTTCCAAGAGATAACACTTACGATAGCCGAGAAATAGTTGCATCATATATAATGTCTATTATCTTCATCTGTATGGGAGGAGAAGAGATCTAGCCTTAAGGTCCAGGTTGTTACAGACCCATAACTGACACCTCTCACAGACACCAAGGAAAAAGCTTTTTGTTCAGCTAAATCAGCCCAGAGGTTTTTCAAACTCTGTAGGAGAAAAAAATGGTCAGGAAAAATGTTGGCTCCAAAGAAACAAATTGTAAAGTAAGAATGTTAGAGCTGCATGTGGTCCCACAAACTAGAGAAATGAACAACTCGCACCCATCTGGGAGAGGCCATAATCTAATTCTTTTCCACCACCGCTTACAGCTGGTTCTGAGTTTAGCCCAATAAATATTTGGAAGGATTTTAAAAACTAGGATGTAGCTTGAATTAAGAAACCCTTCAATCTATTAGCAAGAACCTTCACATTTTATGAGATTTAAGCCAAAGTCTCCCTTTAAATATTCTCAATGTTTGCTGTGAAGATACAGGCACAGAGATTAGATTTCCGACATAGCCTGAGTCAATGGGAACCAAAGAAGACCACAGGAGTTACTGTTTCCAAGTGCAGGATGTTAAAGATGATGATAAAGAATACATATATTTTATGGACAGATGGGTAAAAGGTGGCTGCAAGTGTGGAAAACAGTCAATCCACTTGGATATCTGTTCTTTGAAGGAAGAAAACTATAGACAAACTGACTATCGCTGGAAGGAACATGAATAACGTTTCAGGTATATCAGGAATGCTCATTTTTATCAAGCAATTGCTGGGCTGTAGCTAGAGAACAAGTTAGGTTTGCCAATAAGTGTAACCTTTCAAAATGTGATTTGTTCTTCCCATCCATCTATATCCTCCAAGAGTAGTGTGATAACACATCTGGCTGTAGGAGCGGGGTTGAATTTCACTCAGTAGTGGAAAAGAAGTGGAACTTTTGGTATATGGAGTATTGGTGCCATAAGAAAGTTAAATACCTCAAATCCTCCTCCAAACTAGAGAAGGAGAAAGAAATGTAAAGGTGAGATAAAAATTAGGCACACAGAGAACTGATGTTACATACTCGGTGTCTTGAATAGAAGGGGAATGTAAAGAAACAAAGGTTTATCTTTTATGAAGTGGTATTTGCTTCTCTGACTACTGGTATAGTAATGTTCTGAAGGCTTTCATGATAGGTAGACTTGTTCAAGTGAATTACACGATACACATGTTTTATAGGTAGACTTGAACAAGTGACCTACATAATGTAAATGTTTTACATTGATTTGTATTGTTATAAACAAGGGTAATACGGTCTATATTGTTTTTGAAAATGATGATAAAATGAAAAATGGAAAAAAAAAATAAAAAACCAAAGCAAAGTGCTGGTGTGTGAGTTGGGCGGGAAGGAGGATGTGAGATGGCTCTTTGGGGGTGACAGCTCTTTCCCGGAGAGGTGTGATTTTTCCAGTGCTCTGCTGCAGAGAGGCTTGTCCCCTGGGGACGCAGTGACCCCCGCTCTGTGGGGCTGCGGGATGAGCTCCGTCCTTCAGCCGCTTCTGCTCTCGCCCTGTGGCTGTGCCTTGTCACACCCAAGGGACACCAGACCCTGACGGGCCAAGCTCCTCTCCTGACTGCCACCACATTCATGGCTGTCCTTGGTCTGGAGTTCCCCGAGCGTTTGGGCTCACTCTGGGCAGGTGGTATTGGGTGATCTTTCTCGCTCTGGCTACCAACTGTTGAAGTATTGGGTCCCTCCACTGAGTTCTGTGGGGGGACTTCTGGAAATGTAGGTTAACACAGACTGTCACTGTGGGGATGTGAGTTTAGCATGTGCTCCCCGGGCAGGGAGATGGGTTGTCTTCAGCTTCCCAAGGCAAAATTTTTGTCTCCTTTTTTCGGTTAAAATTACGAGAACTCCGGTTAGCACTGTCCTTTGGGTAGGTCCATCCTGGGAAGTTCAGTCATTAGCCTCAATGTACTTTGAGGAGAAAATGTCCTGAATCTCAAGGCAAACTGAGACTGAGGACTTGTACCAGTTTATAATCGGACCTGAAAAGAAATACAATATCAGGGAACGCCACTTCACATCAAGAATTCAGGGCTCTGCACCACAATGTTTCTCTTCAGAAAAATTAATGATGTAAGGAGGGCTAGGCCACCTTGTTCCTGGGACCGTGTGGGTTTATAGCATTTGCCAGAGAGCTAATCTATCTGCAACAACTTCAAAGGCACATATACAGAGGGGAAGAGGCTGGTGTCCCATGGTCTTGGCATGAGTTAGCATCCAGGACAGCGGCTGCTCCTGTGGAAGTAGTTCTTTTCAGGAAACATGAGTTCAGTTAATTATTTTCTTGTTTTACTCAGCATATGTGATCTTGATGTCAGCTATCCATCTAAATAGACAGCATAACTAATGTTTGACCAGAGTAGCACCTAAAACAAAGTAAATGTGTCATTTGGAGAGCGCCAAATAACTAGATCTGCTAGTTCCCAAGCAAAACCCTCATATAAATGTGGGAGCAAGTGGAAATAAGAATTGGATCTGCGCACAGAGCTGATCTTGGCAGATCAAGATAAGAAGGTTAATTTTTTTTTATTCTAGTAGCTGGGGAGGGAAGGTGTGCGCACAGGAGGATAGGAAACATGTGAAATACCATTGCTGATGAAAGTGTTTGATGATTATTCTGACTCAAGTCTGCAAAGGAGGAGACCCAGGAGAGCAAAACAAGGTAAGGAGAATAGGTCTTATGTTTTGGAGCTGAGAATTTCCTGTCCACTTATAACCTTGGAGCTGCTAAAGATAGCCTTGGGTGCGGTGCCTCTCATCCAGCCTTTGACCAGCCAAAAGGAATACAGCTGTTCCAAGCTAGCCATTGATGTTTCCTCCACTCAGTGGAGAAAAAGTTATCTCCGGTGCCTAAAATAAATGGGATGAATTGCCCTCTGGAGATGGCTGTCTTTTTCCACCAGTTTAAGACAAAGTGAGATGCATCCACCCTGGATTACAGGAATGATTGGTTGTGGACCACTTGATTTCGGGTTATTGGAGAGGAAACAGATTTAAGCCCAGAGACACATAGTCGAGGCTACTGTGCTTTCTTGGGAAATGACTTTAATGCTCTGCCCTGTGCAGAGCAAGGACACAGGCTCACGCTAAATGAAAATACTGTAAGAGTCTGGGAGGCAGGCACAAAGGTATGTATTGTGGGATCCAACAGAAGAGACAGGCTGACAATGTCAGGTCAATGCCTTGGAAAAATGTCTGTGGCTCATGGACCATGTGGTCATGAAGTGCCACAGCTATTACAGGAAGAAAAGAAAGAGCTGCCATGTGCGTGAGGCTGAAGTACACAGAGCCTCCCTGGGACCAGGAGGAAGTCTGCTGTGCGACTGCAGGCCAGCCGGGGGCTCTCGGGCATGCACGGGTGTCCTGGTTTTGGCTGGGATAGAGTTTATTTTCTTCCTAGTAGCTGGTACAGTGCCTGAATAATGTGTAAGAATAATGTTGATAACACACCCATGTTTTAGTTGTTGCTAAGTAGTGCTTACACTAGTCAAGGACTTTTCAGCTTCCCTTGCTCCACCGACTGAGAAGGCTGGAGGTGCACAAGAAGCTGGGAGGGGGCACAGCCAGGACAGCTGACCCAAACTGGCCAGAGGGACATTCCATACCGTGTGACGTCATGCTCAGTACATAAACTGGGGAAAGCTGGCCGGGGGGGCCGCTGCTGGGGGACAGGCTGGGCATCGGTCGGCGGGTGGTGAGCAATTGCATTGTGCATCACTTGCTTTGTATATTCTATTATTATTATTATTATTATTTTATTTCAATTATT